ACGTGTGACACGGTTATCAGCTCTTGTGGAAAAAAATGACAGTAGAATTGTTCAAACTGATACTTATGCAATTAAACCGCTTCTCTTACCTTTTGGCCACACAATAAAGGAATTAAGAAGCGTTAATTACGGGGATAACTTTGTGTGACACTTGATGATCGACGACGATTCGATGTTGTTGACTAACTGTTACTGTTAACCTTACGACAAACACTATTGACCTGACGGTCGGTCGTGTTTTCAACTAATGAGCTGGCCGGGCGTTTTTCTAGTAAGGGCTGCATTTGATCTGCAACTTACATTTACGTAATTAACGTTCAAGAGAAAAAAATAAATATATAGTGCATAGAAAACAAAATTCTGAGGGAAATCTGGGAGAATTATGCTAAAGATATTATATGGTATTTATTTATTTATTGGGATACTTTTTCTTGTAAGCATTCTCAATGACAAAAAGTGTTGCACTATTTAGACTGAGTACCATGGCTTTCCTAAATATTTGACATTCTTTAAGTGGCTACCTTTAAGTAGGCTCTAAAATATATACTGTAGGCCGGGGCATAGAATTTAGTAGGAGGGACTTGTCCCTATGTGACACTGATTTACCCCTAGCAATAATTTCGACCAAAACTTTATATATATATATATATATATATATATATATATATATATATATATATATATATATATATATATAGATAGATAGATAGATAGATAGATGTCCCCATCCCCACCAAGTTCAAAATCAAACCTACGCCACTGACTGTAGGCCTAAATTGCTATGAGTACATTAATAGACAAAACAATTACAGACAAAAACTTAAATGTCCTTTAATTAATATAGGCCTAATGCTGATATGGCAGTAGGCCTATTGTGTCACAACATACAGTATGAAAATAAATTATCTGATAGGCTATTAACATGACAATACTGGAAATATCACCGGTTTTCAAAGGTTTTCTTTGCCCTGAAAAGTAAATATTGTGTTTTTTTTTAATTTTATTTTTTTTTTTTTACAATAATCAGAATGTACTTTAGGGTAATGAAACATGTTGAACTAAATAATGAACAATGATAAAAAAAAAATTATAAAAAAAAAAAAAAATCATGTTGTCTCCGGGCAGTTGATTGACACAACTTCAGGATGCCATCCAAATAGTGCCGGGGATTAAAACCGTGGGTAAAATTACAAAGATGGACACAGATTCCAGATAAAACATAATGAACAAACACAACAGAAAACTTAGAAGAGAACTTGTCTTGCTGCACACAATCTTGCGCACAGCTTTGCAGAACTGTTGGGGAGAAAAACAAGAATTCCAAAGTTTAGAATTTTGCATTTGCATTCAATCAAGTATTTTTTTTTAAACAGAAAGCTCAGACAGTAATGACTTTCTTTGGTGTTGCATTGGTGGAATTTTACCAAATGGTTTTATAAATGCATTTTTTTAAGTAGGCCTACGCCTACCACCACATATTTCCTGATTTCCATGGTTCATTTCAATTCAATGCAAAACAGAGTTTAGAATTTTGCCAAATGGTTTTATAAATGCATTTTTTAAGTTGGCCTACCACCACATATTTCCTGATTTCCATGGTTCATTTCAATTTAATGCAAAACAGATCATTTGGAGAACCTAACAAAACAAAAACAGAATAGTTGTCCTTTGATGAGCCTATATTTTAGATTCTTCTGGCAAAATCATATCCACCACAGTTTGAGAGTGGTTAGTTTTGTCATGCTGTTGGAATATCATCATCATTTAGACTGAAAAAAAGAAAGAGAGATGATGTGTGTGTATGCAAAGAGATTCAAAGAGATTACTGCCTGTTGCCTGGAATCTGCAGATTAACATTCTTGCTCAACACCAACTGGAGCAACTGAATCATAAATATAAATAAATAGATTAAATCACCTCTAATGTTGATGGTCTAATAGTCTAAACTCATACAACCCTACACGGTCACCAACAATGTCTTTTTCTATTTCTCAATCACATTACATTTCTTAACCTAATTTCTTGTGCGTAATCCCATTTGAAATGGAATTAGTGATGTTGCAATATGTTCAAGCTAAAGATATTATTATCCCAATTTCATGCCTTTTTAGTCAATGCAATACTTATGCAAAAGTGTCATTCTCCTCACGCATTAATTGGTTTAAAGTAAAAACATAGCGAGAGATGAAATGCTTAAAGAGTTGTAAGACTCCTCACTTCCTTTAGACCTTGTTGAACCATGTTCCAAGGCACGGTCTTACGATCACAAATATACAAAAGCAACCCAAGAAAGTCTAATTTGGTACTGAACATTAAAGTTGTTAATAATCCTGAAGATTTGTACATAGAGTTATTTCAAGAGTACATATCCTCTTTGTTTGCTAACATGCTTATCACTGATTTTGCTCTCATCTCACCTGGCAGGTCTGAAAGCTCATGCTGGTGCCGTATCTGCAGTACATGACGTAATGCTCGCAGTTGTACCACAGCAGACTGTAAGCCACGGAGCCCAAGAGCTTCTCAGCTCTTCTAGCCACCTCCTCTCCGGGGAACGGTGGCCGACTGCACACCTTGTCCATATGGTTGACCAGAATCTCGGCTTCATATGCAAAGTCCTCCACCGAGTCCACGCGGACACTCGCTTTTTTTGCTATCACACCCAAAATCAGCCGGTTGTTAGTCACCGCTTTCTCAAGGGCCTTCTGTTCAGTGGTCAAGACTGGCAAGATATCAGGAATGAGGTGAGCCACACGGTTGTTCCCCAGATAAATTCCAAAGTGTGTAAAGAGAGTTCGAGGAACCTCTAGCAGATCTCCTCTTTTGTAAATGGAGATGTCATGTTTGACCACTTGCTGTTTCTTTTTTTCTTCAAAGATCGTGGCCACCGCGATATTAAACAGGCTGAGGAACTGGAGGGGAAACATCCTCACTGGAGAAGTGGTGAGCTTCTGGAAGGTCTGGCACCTGCAGGCTTTATCCCAGTCTGGGCAGACTGGGGAGGGGGGATTACAAACTAAGGGCTTTTTTTTCAGAAAAAAGCTCCAGAATAAGTACATCACATGCCCAATGAAACAAACAAAGCATAGTTACTCAATGACTCTGTAGACCTTCTCACCCTTTGTGGATAAAATTGCTTAATATTTTCTATATCTGGAACAAAGGAAGGTATTGCTGATTGTATAATAAACAAATTTTGCAGCAATGCCAATGTAAGTCCTTAAAACCAATAACTGACTTGGTAAAATTTTGGCTTGTTACACTTTACAGTATAAGGTGTCATTTTGCAATGAACAATGAGCAATATATTCCTAATCCTAGCACGCAAGTTCACAATGTTCATGTTAACTCACAGTGCATCATCTAATGTTAACAAATACAATGCAACAAATGTACTAGTAAGTGTACATTAACTAAGATTATTAACTAAGCGATGTTTATTGTTAGTTCATGTTAAAGTTAGCACAAACCAACAATGAACATTACCTTAATATTAATTTTAACTTTTCAAATAATTTTTTTAAGATCAAAAGTTGCATTTGTTAACATTAAATAATGCACTGTGAACTAACATGAACATTTTGAACTTGCATTTTGTATGAATATATTGCTCATTGTTAATTCATGTTAGTGAATGCATTAAAATGATTGTAAAGCCATTTGTAACCATTTTTAAACAAATAATCCTGTAAAAAAAACTGTAAATTATTAACAGCTGTGGTTGCCAGCATCATACCGTAAAAATACGGTGTGTTACTGGCAAATCACATTTTTACGGTATGATGCTGGCAAATCACAGCTGCCAGTAGTTTACCGTTTTTTACAGGATTATTTTTTTACAGTAAACTAAAGCTTATTGTAATTTGTTACCAATACAATCAACTCGTATGTCGCCTCACCACCATTTAACACTTTGAGTTAAATTGGTGTTAATTTTCTTTGGCAAACATCTGGAAATAAACACAAATGCAAATATGTAAAATATTTTTTATTTATTACACATTTTTTAGATGAAGTAGTTTCTACACTACTACATACTTACTATAGTAATATCAGTAAATATGGATAATTACAACTAATCCTAAACCAAAGCCTAACCGTAACATGTATATTTACATTTAATTAATAGACTTATTTGAAACAGTGCAACTACTTCACCTTAAAATAAAGTTTAACCAATTAATGTGATTAAAATGTCTTATTTATGTTCATTCTTACATGCTTACAGTAAAATAAAGGCTCCAAAAGGGGGTTCAACAGTAGAACTGTTGTGTTTCTCAACCCTGGGGTCACAAAAGATTTACAAGGGGTCATGAAGCTCACTCTAGTTTGAGGGATACAAGTAGGGATGTAACGTTTACCGACACACCATACAATTCATTACAGTTTAATATTTTAGTCATCATTAAAACCGCATTTGAAAACCAGGATTTGGACAAACTCCCTGTAAATATTTTCCAGCATTAAACAAAGCAACAGTCTCTCATGCAGGTGCAGCCTCCAGCATAGGTTTTATGTGTATTCAAAAATCTAAATTTGGATTATAAGCTCATGGAGCAGATTAATTAGCCCACCTATAATCGTTAAAGGGATAGTTCATTCTAAAATGAAAATTCTGTCAACATTTACTCTCCCTCAAGTTGTTCTGAACACAAAAGAAGATATTTTGAAGAATGCTGGTAACCAAACAGTTGGCACCATTGCCTTCCATAGTATTTTGGTGCTCCACAACTGTTTGGTTACAGGCATTTGTCAAAATATCTTCTTTTGTGTTGTTCAGCAAAAGAGAGAAATGCAGGTTTGGAACAACTTGAGGGTGAGTAAATGATGACAGATTTTTATTTTTGGGTTACCTATCTCTTTAAGGATTTTGAACATTCTCCTGGAACCTTTCAGTGAACAGTTCTTAAAAAACTTTTTTTTTCTTAGTGTGAAGAACAATAGGCCTATAATAACAACCTAAAGATCCCTTTTCAAGAACGTTTTGGAAACGTTTGGAAAATGCTATATGTGCTATTATCATGGAATATAGCATTTGATTTGACATTGACATTGTACAGTATGTTTTCATAAAAGGTCATACAAATTTACAATATAAAATGTTAGGTAAAAAAATGAAAAAGATTAAGTTATCAATAGCGAAAATATACAACTGAATGTCAACAGCCGCAATGACTTTCTAGGCTACAGCAAAAAAATAATAACAATAAAAAGATACATTAAATAGTCTAGTTTGTGTGTGTTTAGACTTGAAGTGTCTCTTATCCAGCCATCCACAAGATGAAAGGAATGATAAAGGTTAGAAGTGCGGTGGACGGCGCTATTCCAAGAAAAAACATGGAAAGCATTCCGATGATAGTGGTTAGAAGAACACTCCTCTGGTCCCGGATTACTGATTTGAAACATTCACAGAACTGTTGAATGAAAGAAAGATGGGATAGATGAGATTCAGAGCATTACAACAAACAAAAAAAAAAAAAGCAAAGTGTGATTCGCATCTGAGAAGGTGCTGTTATGTTTTTCTGGACGAGTGCATCTCCCTAAACCCACTTGCCACTGAATGAAGCTGTTGTTTTTGCGCTAAAATGACCCAGATTTTCCATAAAGCTCTCGGTCAGGCAAATGACGTGAAAATACGTTGTCACTGGAGATGGAAGTTTGGAATTAAAGTGGTCGGTGGAACATCCAACCCTGCGACAATCTGGCATTTAGAATCTTGAAGATTTTATAATTATAGCCTATTCTGACAAAAAAAAGAGGTGTAGACATTAAGCTTTAAAACATGAAGCTTAATGTTTACACCTCTTTCTAAATGTAATGTAGTCATTTTGATATTTTGGGGGGCTTAAAGTTAACAACAATAGCATAGGCTATAAAGTTGATTGTACTTTTTTTAATTTGTTTTAAAATATTACAAGATCCTCATTACTACCAGTCACATGTTTTTATTTTCATATAATTTTTATTTTATTTTATGAAAAGTGTTTTAGTTAGTTCACATTAAACATAGGCTAATAACATTTTTTTTTAAATGTAAAAAAAAAATCCCTTGAAAAAAAAATAGCTTGAAAAACGGCCTATTTTTGTGGCCTCATAAACGTTTTGTTTGAGGCGTAGGCTAGGCTATGAAAAAAGGTGTAACTTGAAAGGGTACCGCCCCAGTGGCAGCTTTTGTACCTTTTATTCAAAAGGTACAAAAATGAAATAACACTTTAATCCGTTTAGCCATGAATTAAGTTTGTTAAGAAATAATGTTTTATAGGCTAGGCCTGTAACTTTTTCCTTATCGATACAATTTTTTGCATATATATATATATATATTTTTTTTTTATAAAAAGTTGTGTTTTAGTTATTTCACATTAAACATATAGCTGAATTTAAAAAAAAATGGGAAAAAAACTATTGTAAAAAAAATGCCTTGAAAAATAAAATAGCATGAAAAACGGCCTATTTTTGTGGCCTCATAAACGTTTTTTTGAGGCGTAGGCTAGGTTATGAAAAAAAAGGTGTAACATTTGAAAGGGTACCGCCCCAGTAACAACTTTTGTACCTTTTATTCAAAAGGTACAAAAATGAAATAGCCTAACACTTTTATCCGTTTAGCATTGAATTAAGTTTGTTAAGAAATAAGGTTTTATAGACTAGGTCTGTAACTTTTTCCTTATCGATACAAATTTTTGCATTTCAATTTATGTTTACTATATTGATTTTGCTAAACCAATTTTAAACATACCTTGCAAATGCATTAATGTGCGTGTCGCAAAGAAGAAAGAAAATAAATTGGCAACATTTAATGAATAACTTTTATATATTGGCCATTGATATGAAGTATCGACTCGTCGATTCAAAAAGAAAAAAACTGTCTGGAATCCAATCTCGTTTACCTTGTCTGTCTGCAGGCTGACCGCTGTCCCGTAGCGGCAGTAAGTGACAAAATGTTCGCAGTTATTCCAAAGAAGGCTATATGGAATATGACCGATAAGTTTTTCCGCTCTTCTGGCAACCTCCTCAGCGTCCAGCGGCTGTTTTCTCAGGATAGTATCCATTGTGTTGAGCAAAACAGGAGATCCGAAGGCAAAATCCTCCACCGTGTCAACCCGTATTGATGCATACTTGTAGATCACACCGAGAAGCAACCTCTTGTTTGTCACTACTTTCTGGATTTGGGATGTGTTGCTGCTGGTCATAACCAGCAGTATGTCAGGCATGAGGTGGGCAACTTTGTTGTCACCGAGATAAATGCCAAAGTGAGTAAACAAAGTGCGAGGAACCTCCAAAAGATCTCCGCGCTGGAAATAAGTGCTCTCCTCGCGACGCTTTGTGCATCTTTCTTGTTTAGATGGAGTGGTTCTGAAAAAGTTAAAATGTGCAAGTAGGAAGGTTTTCTCCAACAGTAGAGCCAGAGAATCTAACATTTTGCAGTACTGCTCAGGCTTCACTTTCCCCGCTTCGTTTTATTCTAAGAGCAGCGGTCCGGCATGACGTCAGTGCGTTAGCTGAAATGACTATTGGTCACTATTGATGCGCTATTGAAGAGCTGTAAAATGTAAACGAAAGAAAAGGTGATTAAAACCTGATAATTGATTTGCTGTAAGATACCTTATCATATAGCTACGGTAAAATATTGGTATGCATGTAAAACAATGCCATTAGTTTATAAGTAAATCTCACCAGAATGCATCCATCCTTAGCCTACAACTGTTTAAGTTTTACAGTAAAGTTCTTTTTTTTTTACTGTAGACAAGATGTTTTAAAAATGTGTAGAAAGAATGCACGCAAACCGATATATATGTGTGTGTGTGTATATATATATATATATATATATATATATATATGTGTGTGTGTATATAGTAATTTTTCAAATTCTACAAATCAAGTTAATTTATTATTATGGCTATTGCTCGAAAATGAACAAATAAACTAGTTCAACTGAATGTCTGAGCTCCAGCAGCGTCTGGATTTTCTCTGATGTAGGTACGGCCAGGGTAGATGAATGTGGAAAAAGTGAGAGCAGAAAGTTTGGCCAACGGTGGTTTGAAGTTGAGAGCTGGTTCATGCCATGTGGCAATAATTAAAGTCCTCAATACATTCACCCAGACCGCACCAAACAAGAGCTCCTTTTACCAATGGACCAGTTAGTGGGCCGTGCCGACAGAGCACATGTCAGCACTTTATTAAAAGTCCCCAGAAATGTAGCCATCACATTTCCAAAAACAGAAAAGGATTGAATTCACCATGAGTTCAGCACCACTACTAATGAATACCAATAGCAACTAACGGTCTTAACTAAGAGTGTGTCAATGGATTGAAAACAACCAATTGTCTTGTAAATAGTCCAGCTCCATAAGTTTATAAAAACCCACATTGAGCTTAAGAGGACATTAAGTGGTAACAGTTGTAGCAAAATGATGCAAAACAGTCTTGACTCAGAGATAAAGGAAAGGATTAAAGCTGCACCCTCCCCCCTGAGGTTTAGTTTAGTGGGAGAGCGATGATGGACAGGAGGAGAAATCAGTGTCAGAATGGTAACAAAGGTGTCCCAGTGAGGGCAAAAGCTGAATGTTGAGGGATTACTGATTACTTGGTGCTCTCTCATGGGTCTGTTGCTTGTTTGAACAGCAGTGGAGCGCTGAAAGATAGCGGGTGATAAATGACAAGCCATTTATCTTCCTTCCCTGTTTTGTACCCCAGCATCCCAAAGTCTCTGTATGTGACAGCTGAATGCGCTTGTGATAAATGTGTGAGTTCTGAGGGAGAGTGATTTCAGTTTATGTGACCGTGTATGTGTTTGTTGTGAATGACACTCCGTTGCATTGAGACGAAGCCAAGAAGCTCTGCAAGCGCACAATGAGGAACTGCTGGATCTGTCTGTCGGCCGTTGACAAATGAACTCTTCACATGTCTCGCCTTCCACTTCCTTTTGATCACTCTGTGCCGCTAAGATCACGCTGTTAGCACATGCTAATGCGGGTCAAAACATCGCATTTACCATAAAACCTAATAAAAGAATGTGTTACAGGGGTCATGAACTGGCTTTTTAAATTTTATTATATTGTTGTATGAGGTCGACTTATGACGTTCGATTGGTTTTTGCATTCAAAAACATCAAAATGAATAGGTAATAGACTATTTTCTACCCTAGTTTTGAGCGTAGCTGAAAAACGCTCGGTTTTTATGGGCGTCTCGCACTGAAGACTTGGAAGTAAACGCCCACTGCTGTGAGAGGATAAAAGTTTTGCATATTATAATGAGTTTCAACTCACCCGTCGATGCACTTGGGGGAATGTTTTGAAAACGTCCAATGTTGTAAAACGGCAACCGGAATGATTCGCCCATACATGTTCGACCCAGAGTCCGTGTGTTGCACAATTCCTGTCAGATCCAATATAGACAGCACAGCACCGTTCTTTAATCTTAATCGGTCTGCAAATCCAGTCTTGTTTACAAAACAATCCTTAGTGAAATGAAGCAAACAGACGACGATGTTTTACCCTCATCAGCTGGAACGTCATGAAAAATAAAGTTAACCATTGAAATCCAGAGGAAGCATATGCAGCGACTGTCTTCTTCCACAACGAGGCGCTGCACAATATTTTGTATTGCTCGGTAGTTCGATCCGCTTTTTCACCACAAGGTAGGCATCTATGTTATTTAGCTATCCGTGTAATGCGCGAATCGGTGGGCGGGGCTAAACCAGCGGTGTTGAAGTAGGCGTTGATCTTCTTCTGTGGGGGTGTTGTTTTATCCTCTTTGACATCATAGTTATCACTTTGAAAAACGAGTCGTTTGCTGAGCCTGGTGTCAATAAAAGCTTTCATTGGGCTAACAAGGACGTTTTCAGTTCTGAAACTTAAAGAATATTCTTATAATATGATGACCTCTTAGATGTCAAAAGGTCAAGGAAAATTGGATTTCTCAGTTCATCACCCCTTTAACGTCACAGTGAAAAATGAATGAAGTGTGAGAGTTTGGGTGAGCAAAGGTTTTTTCTGCGGCATTCAAGCAAATTCTTCTTCCTTAGAGTACATATCTTCAACGGTAAACACAAACTCAGTCATCAGAAGAGGATAAGCCTTTTGCTCTCTGCCTTCCTGTGTCGATAGGGGTCAGAGGTAATGAGAGGACGTTGTATATGGGGACTTCAAGGGTTTATTGCTTTGCTGTCGCCTGTAAGACGTGGCCATCTCAACACAACTAAGTGAAGTACGGCGTACTTCTAATGTATTCACTACATATCAAAGCGCTTGCATGTTCAACAACGACCCAACAAAACTCACATTCAACTTCGATTGGCTCTTTTTAATGCTCATTCGTCCTACTAATCATTCTTAATAATTACAACAGAAACTAAAAATGATTAAAGGCACAGTTGTGCGTTTGAAAAGTTCACATTTTGATTCCGTGGAATCATTTGAACAGTTTGGAAACTGTTAGTAGACACAAAGTAAAACGGAAGACGCTGTTTACATTATACAAACTTCATAATATAATCCATCTGGACATTTTCAGACATTATAAAACTACTATTTCTTGACATTATCCATTTGAAGCACATTTTTTAAATGTGGAATCTCAACACACCACCGGCATCTTTCAGTCTTCTTCCTTTTTAATCGACCATTGATTTCAAATCAGGTAGGCCTCTCAGTTTGTAGTCAAGCAGCATTTGCCCGTAGGCTTTTCCCTGAAGAATAACACATTTTTAGTAACACTAAAAACACAACGATTCACTATGTGGTATTTTTTCTTACTGACCCAAAATTTTGTATCATGACGTACAAGTTTGGAATGACACACGGGTGAGAAAACATTTTCGAGCCATTTCTTTAAAGGAGTAGTTCACTTTTAAAAAAACTTTTGCTGGTAATTTACTCACCCCCATGTCATCCAAGATGTCCATGTCTTTCTTTCTTCAGTCGTAGAGAAATTAAGGTTTTTGATTAAAACATTCCAGGATTTTTCTCCATATAATGGACTTCAATGGGAACCAAAGGTTCAAGGTCCAAAAGACACTTTCAGTGCAAACTGCAAACTGTTCAAAGGGCTTTAAACGATATCAGACGATGAATAAGGGTCTTATCAAGCGAAACGATCTCTCATTTAAAAAATGAGCTCAGATGTCGCCTTGCTCTGTTCTGTGATGCACGTTCATGACTCTCCTGTTCAAACTCGTTTAACAAATTGAACAAATCTTTTTTCGTGTCATTTGGTTCATTCAACGAACGACTTGACTCTGGAAAAGATTTGTTCATTTTGATGAACGAGTTCGCACAGGAGAATCACAAATGCACTTTTTTTTTTTAAATGAGCAATCGTTTCGCTTGATAAGACCCTTATTCATCGTCTGAAATCGTTTAAAGCCCTTTGAAAAGTTTGCAGTTTGCACTGAAACTGTCTTTTGGACCTTGAACCGTTTGGTTCCCATTGAAGTCCATTATATGGAGAAAAATCCTGGAATGTTTTCATCAAAAACCTTCATTTCTTTTCGACTGAAGAAAGAAAGACATGGACATCTTGGATGACATGGGGGTGAGTAAATTATCAGCAAAAGCTTTTTAAAAAGTGAACTACTCCTTGTAAATAGCTAGATCAAGTAATCACATATAAAATGTGAACTGTTTTCTTCATTAATGTAAAACTTTAAAAATAGCCACACTTGTTGAAGTCACTGTGTCTGTGTCCATTTTGCGAGTTTGTTTGAATGAATGTGTTTTACCTGAGGGTCACTGCGCAGAGACGCCACCCCTCCCCCTCCGAGTGCGTTCGGAAGAATGAAGTTCAGACCGTGAATGCCAGGCAGTTCGTACCTGGAAGCCACCACAAACATGTGAAATACATTATTTTAATTGAGATCACCTCCCGGTTTTCACACATCTGTGCATTAGCTCACACCACACTTTCATACAGACAGGCATCTAGACATGTCAGTCCTCAGCATGAGGTGGTCCTCATTAGCGGCACCAAAGGCGTTTTCCCCAACCCATAAAACCAGACACACACTCACACACAGGTCTTTAAAAAGCTGTGCAGGCTGCAGATGTTGAGAAGCTCAGTATGAAAGTGTTACAATGTTTATGTTGTGTGACACTAACTTCCTTACAGCTTCAGACATCAACTGGTAATGATTTCCTTAAAAACAGACTACTAACAAAGTATTATATTGCGTTTTATGATTATCATTTACTCAAAAGATCTGCTATTGTGCTTTTTGCCTCATCAAACCATAACGTTTTGATATCTTTCACCACTGAAAGCACATCTGCTAACACATTTTTGGAATTCTTCTCACCGTATGACGGAGGGTTCATCAGCCGGATCCTTTCTGATCAAATGTTGGAAATACTGCTCCACAACCTCAGCAGTTAAACACTTTTTCAGGTAGGGGAAATACAGCGGGTGCCTTGCAATAACCCCTAAACACAGACGTTATACATACAGATTTATTGATATATGGAATAGACATGTGAGACATCTACCCTAAATATTTGATTTATACCGGCATCATGTTGAATGATATTACCATATTTATGTAACTTTCAAAGAAACATCTGTTACTTTGCTCAAAAACATGATTTTAAGTTTAGTCGTTTTATGTTCCCAGTACAACTCACACGGTCAAAAAGTCATAGATTACCAGAATTTCTCTACATTTGCATTTATGCATTGCATTTGCATTACATTTACAAATGTATTGCATTTGCATTACATTTGCATGCAATTATTTATTTATAATAATGTACAGACAGACAGACAAACGGATG